GAGTTTACTTTTCTAGGAATCAAGCATTTTTATGCTTTCAACGCCTATGAGGTCCTCCGCTCCGCTAAGCCCATCCGCACAAGCTACTCTTAATAAACATTTACCCAAACTAGCAACGAAGCGCCTTACACAACAACAACAGAATGTCCAAGCTGCAGTGCAAATGGTCGATGCTGGCTGCTGTACAGGTATAAAACATAAAATTTCACGTGTATGTACATATGTGTGTATATTCACAGTGGATGTATGTAGCAATATTTTATAAAAGAAGTAACATATTTTCACTGCTTCCACAAGATACCACTAAGTAATCAGTAGTTAAATACCATTTTTGGTCCTTTAAAATTTTGTAAATGCATGCATACATACATTATATACATATGAATGTTACTATATCAAAATATAAAAATAACATTATTAATTTCAGATCTATGTAGTAGCGAAAATATACCTGAAGTCGAGATATTTTCCCTCTTGGAGGAACAAATTCCTAAATATAAAGTGCGGTCGGATTTCTTAACCGACTTTTCTGGGTATTCCAATCAGGATTGGTTTGTCCCTGCCCCAGCATTAGAAATACCTACCGAAGGTTTAGGCTTAACCAAAGAGCAGACACGTGAGACGCTAAACTATTTCCGTAAGTATATTTTATAATTAATTATGTATTGTATATAAGTATGTACGTATTGGGTATACATTCATATGTTGTGGCTTTAATATTTTTTTCTACGGTTACAATCAATATATGTATATAAAATTTAATATCGTTTAAATATCAAACTCTAACAAAAACATGTGAAAAATCAAAGATTTCTCCAATGCTAGCTCTAGGTTAACAAAAGTATTTTCCATCTTTTGGCAAAAAGTTTGGATATTTCTTATCAAATCTAGCTTTGCTGAAACTGTAAACTTATTTAATATATTATTTATATTTTATTGGAATTACCTGATATTCTACCATCCATTCTTAGTATTTGTTTAGCCCGCTACATTTTGAGTCACCACTGGACCAGAATCAATCAATAGCTTGAAATTAAAAAGCGCCTAAAAGATGCTAAACATCAGAGCAGATACTTGTTATGTGCATTTGCAAAACATTTTTTTTTTTATAAATTGCAAATTTATAATGTTGCATATTTTAAGGCTGATCAATAAATTTTTACCAAATTTTTAAGTCAAAGTTCATGCTTTGACCCCAAACACAACTGCACGACAGCGAAATTGTCTTGTCTGCAAACAGTTTTTTGAACATATTGAAGACAGCAGCGACATATCAAACAGCTGATGTACACAAAAAAGTTGCCGTACTAAAACTGTTCCCTTCTATGAGATTTTAATAATTTGTTCAAAGTGAATTTTTCTGAAAAAATAATGAATAAGTCTTGCTTTAAACTACCAATTGTTATTCAAATGACATATCAGTGCTATTTTAAGCCTCTGTAAATTAACGTTAAGATGCCCGCAGAGTGGACGCTTAAAGCCAAGCCCACCGAAGGTTCGCGCGTTGCGTAAGCGGGAAAATTTGCTCAGCTCGGATTTGAGTGTCTACTCTGCGGGCACCCTAACGGGGGGCCTTAGACTTTTACTTTACATATTTGGACCAACTCTACCGCTGCCCATTGTCGTGTAGCGACAGTGACATCTGCAAGCCTTCTCCCGTAAAGTCGTGCTGTCGTCTAAATAACTGTTCCCATAAGAACGTGTGTATGTTAATTTTTGTCAGATGCTGCTTGTATTGTATAATAATTACAGTTATTTTCAATCAAATTAATTTCTTCACATCTAATAAAAACTTATAAAAATACTAATTTCAATTCATTTCTTCAAGAAGCAAGAATTCTTTAATAGTGATTTACTGCACTTACGGGTCTACGTAGCATCCGACCAGGTTGTCGTTCTCGCAAGGCCCCGTGGGGTGGACCTGATTTCTCTCGCTATAAATGTAATTATTTCTTGAAATTAGATCAATTGCTGATAACTTGAATTGAAAATATGTATCATCAAATCTTTGGAAAATTTCTCAAACGCTTTATAAGTGTACAATTTCAAAATGTACAAAAGCTTGTTAGATATGTCCAATGAAGTTAAAATATAGAATGTTAAGTACTAAAAACTAATATCTAAAATTCTACTATAAGTTCTCGAAAGGTCACGTAATATTTAATATTTTCACTGATAAAATCTATAACAACTTGCAAAATTTTCCTGTTCAAATTATATTTAAATTTATTTATATTATTTATTTTTGAACTGTGAGATTCAGAGAATAGTTTAAAATATTTTCCCTTGTCCGCAGGCTACACCCCTATATTTCTCATTTCTTTTTAGTGTTGCCCAATTAGAATTGAACTCATATATTTTTTTTAACGTATTGGTTCCCGTAATTGCCTATATATGTATATATTGTGCTATCATTTTATTTCCCATCTTATCTTATTTATTCTCGTGTTCGCAGTTAACTTATTCATTAGATTCGTTTGTATACAATAAAAAAAGCAATTATTAAATTCTCATTGAAATATTAATCAACTGCATTATCGATTGTACTGCAAGTACAAGCTATTTCATTATATGGGTTTAAATTAGTTGATGTTGCTATAGCTTTGTTTACTGATAGATAGATACGTTATTACACTCGCTTTCATATTGTATTTTTAAAATGTTTTCTTAGTAAAAAGTTTTCCTTAAGCAACTTACTGATCCTTCAAACAATCTTTGTAAATATTGAACAAAACAGTCAATCAATATTAACCATTTTGTTATTATTTCAAAATATGTACATATGTATGTATATACATATGCCCAATTAATAATTTCTTTTTCTTGCTTTTCCTTCAGATACCAAAAAAAATTTTCACATAATTATTTAAAATTTAAAATATAAACAAAGGAAAACTATTTTAATGTTTACTACTTTTCCTGTGATTTCGCTCGCATTGAATCCCTTGAATAGATATCAAAGCGATGATCATCCTCGTGGTGGTGAGTGTGGTGTTAACCCAGTTTTGTCTGATTAACACCTTTGACAAATATTTGTTTTAAAAGATTTTTAAATTTATGCCAACACACAAAAACACCTACAATTTTTAATCCCAAACTTATATAAGTTGAGGGAGCGTTAGCAAAAAATTTTTTATATACTCTAGCACATAAACATACACGTATATAGTATATTCCGTTCCCACGGCAGCCGGGTCTACGAAAACCGGAACGGACCCGGATTTTTATCTGGCCAAGGACTGTCAACTCGGCAGAATTCTGCCGTTACAACAACAACAACAACAACAACACGTATATAGTATCTACCGTTTTGTATTTTAGTATGACAGGGTTTTGCGTAGACTCGAAACCACATCAAATTTATAAACCCGTATTTCCTGCTGCCTAAAAAATTTAAATTATAATATAAAACAATTTAAATTTAAATTATAAAATAATATTTAGCACAACATCAGATATTTTTTCGATCTTCCTTTCTTTATCATATTAATAATACATGTAATTCATTTACGCTACGGTACAACTTCCGTAAGAATCAAACACGTTTTTTATAGCAGTATTTTACTCAACTGGCCGTTGACCCGAATTTTTAGCTCTTTTGGAGCATTGCATATATGGAAGTAAAGAAGAAAAATAATTAAATAAAAAATTACAAATATAACGCGCTTTTCGTTTCGCAGTTCATTTGAGAGCAATCTGCAAAATGTTACATGTCTTTGGGTTTCGGATTACACCTGCAAATAATTTCAATATTTTTTTTATTTAAACAATAACTACAATTAATTCCGAGAATTTTCAACGATTTTAAGTTAATATTCCGTACAGTCCGATTTACGTGTCACATAGCGAACGTATTATTCGTAACTTGTATAGAATATTTTAATTCAAGTCGACTTTTATTGTAGAAATAGTAAGTGATTTACGTCTTCTATAATTAATAACAATGAATAGGCAATAAAAATACCATTAATAGTATATTAGTATTGCAAAAGTAGTAGATCGGGTCGGTGCTCAAGAGTTTAATCATATACTTTTGTATTATATTATATAAGATTTAAGATAAAACAAGTAACTTGAATTTTATTTATTTCCAAAAAAATCAATTTCTGTTTTATTTTTAAGTCTTTACTCGTTCGAAATTCATATTTCAATCGTAATAGTTGGCATGCTGCTTTCCAAATAAATATTCCCATCCTAATTTATTTATCTAAATACATATAAACTCATACATAGTATATTTAAATGTAGGTGTACGTGATACTTATTTTTAAATATGAATGACTGATACTTAAATTTTCGAAGCTTTTCTAATTCATTTATGCCTATTTGTTTATGTGACGATATTCGTTTAACTAAAAAGAAAATATCAAACATTTTCAAAGAACGTGCATGAGGTAACGTAACAGTACAGTAGTGGTTGCCTGGGGTTGGGTTTTCAGAATACGAACTAAGACTTTTTGCAAAACATTATGATATTCTAAAGAAAATCATTTCTGAAAGTGGGAAGTTTATAATGCCACCAATTTTAATGTGTAAAAATCAAGCATCGCATAAAATACCTTTCAATAATATTTTTTACTAGAAAGAAACAAATTCAGTTGCAATTTAAAAATTAAATATTTTAAACATGTTCGTGCAACTCTATGATTTTAAAATGTTGCATTAATTTAACCGTTTTTTTTTTTTTGAACATAGCAATGTTGCTATAATATAAATAAAAAGAAAATTTTTAATAGTAACTAAAATGTATATGACTAATATTTTTGTTGCACATAGAGGTTTAACCGGCACTCCTTATTCTGATAAAATATATACCTTCTCTTTATTTGTTACCCTCACTGTTAATGTTGATATAGCAGTGCATGTGTACGATAGTCTAGTGGATTGTATGTTCGACAAGATAAGTGTCAACTATTGTTATTAATTAGATTTTTTATCACAATTTGTTATTGGCTTTTGCAAATGAAAATTTAATACCATACGCTTTTTAAAAAATTATACAATGATCGCCGGTTAATAACAATTAAAATACAGCCGTGTACGCTACTTACTCGTCGTATTTTCTGCTGAGTTGGTTTAGTTTTGTTTGAAATTGGAATGTGTTGAAGAAATTTCGTTGCGGCAATTTGTTTCATTCCACTGTCCACTCAGTGTTCATTTGTGAGAGTAGACAATTACTATCACCGTGTTTTTAGTGCGTTGGAATGTCTTGCGGTTGTTCTTAAAGTTAGCGAAATAATGAAAAATAAATGCCAACTGGCTTAAGTGTAAAAGAATCCAATGAAAATTGTTATAAATGTGTTAAATAAAATATTGATGTGTAACACGTGAAAATAACCTTCAACATAAGACAAAACCTAACACTGAGCAATTACTAATTGTTATATATGGTGCTTATTGGCAGAGCTATTTCAAAGACAAGTAAAACTTAACCAATAAATGCAATACAGTTTGGTTATTGGTCAACCGACTTTACTTAATTCATCAGTGACTAATATGCATATTTGCTAGATTTTTGTGTTTAAAAAGAAAATGGAACATAATTATTAATGCACGCATTTTTTTTATATGTATTGTTTTAAGTTACATAAAACCATTCCAACGTAGTATTATTCATAATCGTATTTGTATGTGGTATATGAGTGACATTAATGTACTCGTTTTTTTCCTTTTGCATATGATAAGGAACTAAACCTGATATAAAGCTATTTATATTTTTTTAATCTAAATTGGATAGATAATTGAAGGGGGTTTAAACTAATTGTTGTGATAACAAGTTTTTTGTATTCCAATTAATTTGGCCGTTTCGCACAGTTGAAGAATTTCGTCGCACATTTTCATTGAACTATGTACAAATATAGTCCATAAGTGCTTTCGTATATTGTTCCATTTAGCCATAATACTGTAAAGCAAACTTCTTGCTGTCATATGCCAAGAAAAAGTCAGTGCAAGATAATCATTACGTCATGATAAGTAAATAAACTATACCATATGACTGTCAGATTTATGAATGCAAAGAAAAAGCTACTGTATGACAAACACCCTATGCGTTATTCATAAAATTATACGCTAGGGATAAAAAAAAAAACAAAAATTAAATAAAAAATACAGTGGCCATCTGCAAATGACGGACTAGTTAGCGGATTTAAAATTGTGTACGTTTTTCAAATCATGCCGTGTTTATTTTTGAATTTATTAATTATGGCATATGATCAACTTCCTACAGTGAAATCTCCTATAAGCGGTTTTTCGATTAATGAAGTTGTCTTCTTATTAGATTGGCTTAAATAAGCATCAAAATATTTGGACCAGCCAATGTACACAGTTAATGAAGTTTTCAGTTTAATAGAGATTTTACTGTACTCAGAAATATATATACTATATGTATAATGGGTATATTTAACAGGTATCGTTGATTTATGCACACTTTTTTAACTTAATTTTTTTGCGTCGAAAAGTGTGGTTAAAGTTATATGGTCATCGTTATAAAATAAGATTAGATATTCACGATGAAATTAAAAAAAAATTTGACTGTGCCAAAAAAGAAGAAATTAAATCTGTGGTAATAAGAACGTCCGATAGTGTTAAAACGTACTTCCAACTATTATGAACACATAGATTTAAAAAAATATGTCTAATGAAAATATAACTGTGCCACAAAGCAATATTGCTCCAACCGACTTCAAATATGGTGACTCTGATATTTGTTCGAAACGCCGAAAGTGCAATGCTGATGCTACCGTGGACAATGAGAGTATTGCATTTACTGAATGTACACCAACAAATATTTCTCTTTTGGATTTTTCTTCCATTGATGTGAGCTCAGATTTTAAAGGAGGTCTTCTTAATTCCACTACATCGACATCATCCGCACAGTCATCACCTATTTCATTAATAACTGAAGAACATTCGGAAAAATCGCTATTGATAACAGCAAAGCCATCACAAACAAGTAAATGTTTTGAAAACACCTTTAAATTATTACAAACCCAATTAGAGTGCAATGCAAAAAAGGCTGTTAGCGTTATGCAGTCCTTTAATGTGGATACGTCCTTTTTAAACAGCAGTATCAGTTCATTACCTTCAATCAGTGAATCCGAAGAACCACCTACACATTTAGAGCTTGAATTAGAAGCAATGCGACGAGTGCGTACGCTAGTTAAAAACAAAACAAGTTACAATATTTCCCCGCGATTTGTAGCACTTTTATGCGATTTTGTGTCCAAAGGTCAACATAAAGAAAATGAGAAAGATCATCGGGAAAATTGTTCAAAAGATGGTGAACAGGATTTAAGATATCATGCTGCTAAGAATTGTGACGGAAAAAACTGTCTAAGAGTTATAAGGACGTTATGCTCACAACAAGGTATGCATTATAACGAATTTACAATTTGTATAGTCCCGAATCATGTTGCAAAAAATATAAGTTTTATTTATTTAAGTGAAGTCAAGTTTACTGCGTATTTGTTATTTAAAGTATTTTAGCGGTTTCCGTTCTAAATTTGTCGTTGGTTATTTGTAAACTCTACTGCAACTAATCTTCATAGGTAAAATCAGAGATAAGTATTTTTCAATAAAAGGCACACTTTATCGAGTGGTCATGCAAAAACACACGTAGCCATTTATTTATAAATATATATTTTTTTCAAATAGACATTTATAAGTGTCAATTGAAAGTAAAATAGTAGGAATTGCAGTTGTTTGCGTTTTCATATTACTTTATGCTTGTAAGCTTTAGAGCTGATCATTCCACTGATAATAAAAATACTGACGCTATACACTTACGGTATGCATAGGTTTATTACAAGTTTTTAAATGAAACCAGGGGATGCTTTTATAAATCCCAACCAAAATTAGTATTAACTTTATTTATTAACTTGCATACCTGTAATGCTTTAGTGTCCCAACGTAAACAATTTATATGATTGTACTTTTACCTTTGACAATAGTCTATGCTGAACGTCTTGGTGAAGATATCTTGGAGTTGTCCATGCAAAGACTGGATTTTGATAGATCAGTTTGCCGCTCGTGAAGATATTTCGTCAAATAAAAAAGATCCATATAGGAACATGTATTTGGCCGTTAAGTTTTGTATGACAGTTATATGCTGTAGCAGCCCGATATCTTCGATTCCGACAAATTCGATATCTCAAAAACTGAGGAACTAGTTTGTGTATATACTGACAGACGGGCATGGGTCGATCGATTCAGCTCATCATGCTAATCATTTAGGAATAAATTTTATTGGGTCTCGGACATTTCCTTCTAGGTGTTTCAAACTTCCTGAAAAATTTATATACCCCGTTCAGTCTATAAAAATTGTATGTAGCTTTAATTGTGCATTGCAATCAAATTAAAACTTAGTAATATCAGTGATATTTTAAAAATTTGTTATTATTTGTTAAATATTAATTCACTCAACTTAACTTATACTATAGACAATTCGTTCGAAGATGGTTTACAGTTAAAGCTGCAAATATTTTATTTTTCATTATGTACATCTGGTACCCATTCAATTTGGAACGTATTTCCTGGAGTGTTCTGCAGTGTTGAAAAGTGTGAAAATATTGCTTTGAAATTATACCGATACATTTTCTCATATATTAACATTAAGAATTGATAACGAAAAGTTTGATTAATTAGAGAAAACCAGGCATGTCTAATATATTGGAAACATTGGGGGAAGAAAGTATCATGTAATATACTAAGTATACGTTTTTATTCTGAAGCTATTTATTTGTGTTTTTTTGATAATGAAAATATAAACATTTGATTAGCGTATACAATATTATAGTAATAACTTTGGTAATAAATACTAAAGTTGAATGTATAGTACACCACATACTAATATATTCATAAATACCCTTTATGAGCAGGCCAGACATTTTCAATCAGTTTGTTAAGGCCAAACTGATAAATCTACCCGAATCTCTTATGTAGCTGTGATCGTTCATCTCTTTCTTACGCAAAGCAGTAAGGGTTCTACGCAAATTCTTTTAATGTATTGTAGTTTGGTAATCGTGACTTGTTGGGTTGTACGCAAATGAATTGTGTCAATATTTGGTTTGTGTATTGTATTCAATGTTTACGAGTTTAATTTTCATGTATTTGGCGTTCTACAACACTGTTGCCGATTGATTTTTGACATTTGTTCCAATATTCATTCTCTATTAATAAAGCAATGAATATTTGCGAGTAGGAAGTTGTGTTTGGTAAAATATTGGTAAAATAATAATAGTGAGCTCCATTTCAGCTTAGAATTTTAAATTTATTAACTCATCTGTATAGTAATTTTCTGAAAAGAAAAGAAATTTCGTATGCGATAGAAAAATATATTTTTTAAACGGAGTAAACGGAAAAGTGCGTCACGAGACCGATGCCAGGTTTTTTCTTTCGACTTAAGAAAGGCGATTAGCATTTAAGAAATATCAGAATACATGCACATATATGTATAGAAATATTTGACGTTCGTTTTGTTATAAAGTGAGTATCACAAAGGTTTAATATGATATAACTTTCGGTAAACGGGTTTTTTGTTTTATGATGTGTTTACTTGTGTACTAATGAACTTTAAATGTATATTAAGACTAAAAAAATTGACATCCCTTGGTTTTGCAAGATAGCGCAGGCGTGGAAAACAATTAAAATTCTCCCCACTTTGTCAAAAATCCTGCATTTTCCAGTAATTTTGCACACCCCTTAACCGAATCCAATATCCTCTAGTCAAGTGTTGTGTTTAGGAAAATGTGATGCGTCAGAATGTGAAATGTTTAAATTCGTTTTCTAAAGTTATGTGAAATAAGAAAAGAACGTCGCGATAAATTTCTGTGATTGAATTTAATGTATTGAAGCAAAACAGACATTTCAACTGTTTGCTTTTCATTTTCAATATTTATTTACTTGATTTAAAATTTTTCATACGTACTATATGCCAACATAAGAAAATTAGCTGAGCTGTTATATAATTAGCAATTTCTTGCCTTTGAATAAAAACGTAAAATTAATTAAAATTAATGTGTGTGTATATGCCTATTTGAAATATACATGATTCGTTTGAATACGTGCAAATTTAAGTTCATTTCCATTTGCTTTGGCATGCAAAACAATGGAGAATGCCGCTTCCAGTGGTTACGTTGAACGTATTGGCCGTTTGCATCGACGCAACGCGTCGTGGTCTCCGGAAAATCGATATAACACTTTGGAGAGCGAAGTAGAAAATGTAGTGATAGTGAATAGAAATATTGATGCTGTTGCCGCAAACCCCAGTATTGACAGTGAAACGAATTTGCAATGGTTTGAAAATTGTAATGACGACTTCGTGGATGCTGCGCAATTAGAGTATGAGGATGAAATATTGTGTACTTCATCCTCTTTCACAAATGCAGTATTTAATACAGTCGAAAATGCTACTTTAGCTGATCTTAACTTTTCTCAAATACAATCTAATAACCAATCTTTACTTGAGAACGAACAATTACTTTACGAAGGTAGTAAAATGTACACTTTATATACAAATAAACCTTAGGTTTTATGGTTTTCAAATATGTGAAGTTTTCATAATGATTAGATTTATATTTCGTGAAGGTTGAATGCCGAAAATACAATAACAACATTTATTGTGAAAAATATACCGGTTTTGTTCTAAGCTTAATAAATAGTTGTATGTACATACATGTGTCACTCGGTTTTGACATTTGTTATTTAGTTTTAATAGAAAAATGAATTACTCGAGGCGCAGAAAAGATGTTGTAATATATTGTTGTGACTCCTACCAACTTGTTTTCGATTGCTGAAAATAAAATCGTATAGAAAAAAAGGAGAAATTACAATTCATGTAATTATTGTTAAGATTATCGATAAAAAGCATTTTGAAAATCGTTAACAAAGAAATAATTAATATCTAATAGCTATGCAAAATTTTTTCCGGATTATGAAACACATTTGTTAATCTGTACGGATTTGTTATACACAATTTTGTACAGAACTAATATTTTTTAATACTTATCAATCTTTAGTACTAAAATTTTTCATATAATTTGCTAATATCATTATTTATTTTTGTTTCAGTTCTATGTGGAAACCGTGTAAGCCAAATGACGCGCGCATATGATGATATAGAAGCTGTGACCCGCTTGCTGGAAGAGAAAGAAAAGGACTTAGAATTAACAGTACAAATTGGCAAAGAACTTTTAACGCAAAACAATGCCCTTGAAAGCAGGATTACTGAGCTCGAAGCAGATTTGAAATCCTCGAATGAGGATCGCGCTCAACTAGTGCATGAACTACACAAGAAAAATGAACTTATCGCTGTTTTGACGAATGACTCTGACGAAGGGAGTGAAAATGGTAAGCAAATGCAATATTGTGGTTGTTGATATTGAGCGGCAGAATTCTGCCGATTTGATAGTCCTTGGCTGTGTGGTAATTAATGTACGTAGTATTAACTAGCTATACTTTCACCTGTATTTGTGTATATTTTCTACTTTTAATTATCAAAATTCAATAATATTCGCTTCTATCTTTTAGATACTCCTACCTTCTCCAAATCCATTACTTTGGATTTACTGCAAAAGAAAATTGCTACTTTGCAAGATGAAAATAAAAGTTTGAAACTTGAAGCCTTACAGCTTGCCTCAGAAACCGATGATGTTGAGGCGCAGGAACGTCAACTTATGGAAGACATAACGTCGCAATTGAACGAAGCGAACGGTCGCTACGACAGCATGAATCTGGAGTTGGAACGTCTCCGAGAGGAGAATCGTTTGCAGCATGAACAGATAATCAGTTTAACGGCGAGATTATCGGAAGCTGAAATGAGGTTGCATCAATTAACGCACGACAATGACGAACACATAACACTTTTAAATATAACCAAGGAGAATCAAAATTCATTAGCAGTGGAATTACTTGAATTCAAGCAACGATATCAGGAAGTACTGGCTCTACTGCAGGAGGCCCAGGAGCAATTGCGAAATCAGAGAAAGAAAACAATGCCGCAAGCGCGTAGCTCTTTTATATCGAATTCTGGTTTACTGCAGCCCGAATCGTTGCAAAGTGAATTAATGGAGTCATCAATGTACTCTGAAAATAGTCTTGACTCCGGTATTGCGGGTGATACGCAACGTGCAGACCGGATGGGCCGTTTAATGTCGCAAATGCCCGGTATATATGGTGGTGGTGCTGGTACCGCAGGGTCCGCATATGGATTTGGAGTTGTTGGTGCTATACCACCATATAAGCGGGTGTTCGAAACGGTGCGATGTGCCAGCAAAACTGGCAATTACATGGATAGTGGTAATTCGTCGATGACCCAACTGGGGGCAATGGCAATGAGCAGTAGCGTGGGACCGCGGATGTCGGCGATGCCGTATCGTGGTGCCGCCTTCGATGACAATACAATGGGTCTGAAGACTTTGTCATGCGAAAGTCTGGCATCACAATCGGACGACGGCTATCCAGCGGCACCAAGTGGTGTTCCTGGTGCACCAGGCGCTAAAGACTTAGAAGCCGCTTTAAAACGCCTCACACCAGCTGAAGTATTGGCACGACGTGCTATGCTCTCCTATGCTCCAGTTGGTACATATTCATATGATGAGCAGCCAAACACCACAAATACACTTCCACTAGGTGTACGCACGCCAGATAGTATTATGTCGACAGGTTCGTCAGGTATTTCATCCTCGAATATGTCGGCATCAATGCAACAATGGCGGCTACCGGAAAAATTGCAAATTGTGAAACCTATAGAAGGTTCACAAACACTGCATCATTGGTCCAGATTAGCAACGCCTACGTTAAGTGGCTTGCTTGAGGAACGACCCGGTGTTACCATACGCGGTGGACGTGGCCTTGACGATTTGGGCATGCAAGTGTATACATTGTCCGATGTGGAGGAAGACGTAAGCGATGACTTACCGGGCAAGCAATTTGAAGCTTCCGGTTGTACATTTACGTATACAACGAGTATGGTAATGCATCCTGATGACGGTTTAAATGATTTGTCATTCTTGTCTCAATCACAATTGTCATCACGTATGGCCTCCGCATCGACATCGCGTCAACCAAGTTGCCCGCCCACCCCACACGGTGGACTCTCGCGCAAAAACTCGTGCTCTACGTTTTCGGTAAATCTCGGATTGGCTTCAATGTTAAACGAACGTGGTATCAAGGCTGTGACGCCAAGTGCGCTGAATACACCCGCTGGACCGAACTTCACACCAACTGTTACGCCCTGCAATAGTCCCGGTAAGTTAGAATATAGTTCTGTCTGCACCACAAAATACAAAAAAAAAAACAAAAAAAACTATACACGTGACATATCGTATGTTGTATGAATGTATTTAACTCTTTGCTTCATGTCATTATTTCATTTCCATCTTTCAGAGGGTTCCCCACCACGCTCAGCATCGCCCGAACCATTGTTCGGCATACTGTCGACTGGTGCCGATTTGATTCGACGCAAACTAATTGGCGATATTGAGAGGCCAAATCGTAATCAAGCTCAAAAACAACAAAAAATCATGCTATCACGCTTGGAAAGACGTGCATTACGTTCGCTAAAATTGGTCGAGAAAGTGGAGAGTATTGGTTTAGAGAATATCATAGTTGCTCAACCGAATACTATGTCCCAGTTGGCTAGCGGTATAGCGAGTCGCAGCTCTAGTCCAATGGCACAATTAATTAGTCTTAAGAATCTGCACACATGCGCCAATAACGTAGTGGATGATATACACTTCGATCGTGATCAAATAAAAACCGTGCTACATAAGGGACTGACTACGCCCACCACAGCCAGCTCAAGCATAAGAAGTGATGATGAAAGCGTAGAAACAGAATCGATATCAAGCGTAATAAGTACTGAAAGAACTGTTAAAAATGGACAACAGCATACAGTAATAAATAGCACACAAAATGTGATTTCGGCAACGGTCACAACAGCGACACCCACAAATGGTACAAGCACAACCGAGTCCCGCATAAAGCAATTACAACGACAAAAGTCGCGTCGCAATCTGAAAAATGGTATTGCTGGTCAACGACCAGATTTAGGTACGATCAATGGTAGTGCTAATGGTGGTGGTAGTGGACGTGTACGTCCCGATTTAGGAAAAGTGTCTTCTGGACCCTCAACGTCTGCGGCAGCCAAGATCAATATGACAAATGCCCCTACAGTTGTGCCACAGACGAAAAAGGGTGCGCACAATAAAGAACGCGAACCGCGAGAACAACAAGAAGGTGTTTTACAAACAGTTGTCGGAACTGTGAGTTCATTACTCTTCGGACGTAAAGGTGGCTGGCTGTAGAGCACTTATACTATTTATTTTACTAAATGTGCTTATTTAAGTATGATAATAATATATAATAATATTTACTACGTAATTTACTTTGATAGTGTTTGAAGCGAAGATCAATTGTTATAAACGGATAACGAATAGTGAGTTCTAAGCGATGACGGAGCATAGTTGAACAACTAACGAAGAAATTTGCAATGAAGACAGTGTTATTTTTTATTAGCAAACTTAAATGGCATTAATACGCAAACATCTAAGCCAAATTGCTTGTAGTGTTGTGAGCAGGCTACAAAGATGTAGATAAGATATAAATAAGAATTGATTGCAACGATAGTGCAGCTGTGAATATGTCTATGAGTAGGCTAATAACATTTTTTTTTTGTGCACTTAGTTATGTATCACATTTTATAGAAATTAGGGTAATCTCTTGAAAAACTCTTGCATTTTAGCCCTGCAATATCAACGAAACACGCAAAAGAAATATACTACCCATCTTGATTTAGTGCAATTAGGCATAGCTGTGCCAGCTATTATGTTTCAAATTCAGATATGTTTCGCTGATATGTCTGTTTCAACAATGAGTTGCGTGCGCTTGGATATTTGTTGTAGGATTGCATGCAATCATGCAAGAGCGCAAGAATCCTCCTACTATGTATTCCAAGAAACAATTTATCCAATATGTAAGCTACTCGTTGTTTATCCCTTCACAAGGCGTAGCTAACACAACTGTGTAACCAAATGAGGACTGGAAACAACTTGTACAAGTCTTATTTAAATATTCAATTTCAAGCATTTGCAAACTGTTTGTGATTTGTTCCGCACGCATAAATATTCATCATTTACCTTATTTTTATCACATAACCTAAGAAATTTGTTTTTATGTTATATTGATTTATTATTGTTTACATATTAATTTATTGAAATCGAATATTAAGTTTTCAAGTATATACATATGTACACTTACTTTCACATGTCGGAGAAATAAATACACAAATAAATATTTAATACTGCCACGATGAGTTCAGTTATATCCACAAACTATATACGCTTACTTTGAAATGCGCATTTTGTGGCAACAGTTTTGAAACTAGTGTAAACACAAGGATATGTACATAATACAACAATTTGTTTAATGCCTGCTACTGTATTAATAATTTGTTATACTTTGAAAAAATTTATTTAAAAAAATGGCAATGAATATACCTACTTATATACACACACGCACACAACATAAGCATTCTTTATTGTGTGTGTGTTTTCCACAGTAACCTTCAATAAATCTTTAGTAGCTACATGCTTGGCCAATATAGCTTTGTGCTGCCTTTACAAATAAGTGCTTTTGCATTTTTATTGCTGCGAAATGCAAATAAACAATTCCATTAGAACGTTAAATATTTGTTCTATAAATATAACGCTTCTTAAAAATAATTAAACTACGTCAAAGATTGAAATATTTAACATTCAATGTGGAAGTGACGTGGACGTGTATTATTCAAATATAACTTATAATTTGTGTTTAGTAGAGCCTAAGAAAACACTTTTCGATTCATTTCCTAAAACAATACTTTATATGTTGAAATTTTATATTTTCACATACCATTGAGTAATTTTTTATGTAAATTTTTTTTTATTGAGTGCAGTGTAACTGTGCTTGTTTAGGTTTAAAGTAGGCACATATGACTTTATTACACAGCCCAACATGAAAAACGCCTTGAACAGTGTTTTTTCACTTAATAATCTGTAAATTAAAATTTCCACCAACTCTTTCCTTAACATGGTTACAACAGTCACTACCGGCTAAACATCGACATGCATATACTGTATACTATTAACTTAAAATTAATTCTAGTCTCGCTCCACTTCCTTAAAAATAGTTCTTCGCTATTCGTTGCCGCAAAGCGAAACCAATACGGCACTTAAAAACATTAGTTTGTAGTTAAATCAAACATTGTGATGTAAATAAAATATTGTTTTTAATTAATTTTATTTTATTTTTTTTTTTGCATTCTCGCCAAACTATACATTGTCTAGTTTGGTTGACGAATATGCATGTGCGCCTATTTCAAATAAAATAACAACAAACAATTGGGCATATTAAATTTAAGTGAAGCAGATCAAAATAAGTTTAAAAAAAATCGCTGAAAAATGGTAAAGAATGGCATTAAAATGGTGCTAACCTATGTTAGTATGTGTGCCACATGCATAAAAGTATATGTACACGCATTATGCATATGTGTTGTACACTTAAAAAATAACTATCTATCACTTGTGATAAATTTTGATAATTTCAGTAATTGCATTGCTTTTGCTTAGTGAAAAAAGAAGAGACATTAAAATAATAATATTGTTAATATCCGACGAAAATATAATAGTTGTGTGTGCATAATTTTCACAGTTATTGAAGTTATTAAGGCCAGCGTTCAAATATGAAAGACTTTATTTTCCTGTAATGAGGCAAGGTTAGTAAGAGTACCCGTGGTGCACATAGATAATAATTGAAAATTATAAATAAATATATGTATATATACTTATATATATGTATATATATATATAATGAACATCATTAGTTATACACAAAAAAAAAAAAAAAAAAAAAAAAAAAATGAAAAGCAATTGAAAAAAATTAATTGAAATATTTTAAATAAGCATTGCTGCAGTGACTTAAGTTCAAATTATGAGTTAAATTATTATTTATTTATAGAACTGTATATTCAAATAAAATATAAACGTCGTTAAAATTACAAAAATTGTTTATATGGAAACAAATAATCTCTTGCAACAACTGTAGATGTAAAGACTACCACTACACTTCATATTTCTATACTTATTTTCCGCGCTGAACTTCCAAATGTCGGAAATGCTTTTTTCCGTCCATATTCTACAAAGAAACTGATGCATGATCCTTATCAGTTCTTTTCCGCCGTATTTAAATAGTTCGACCGGCAATCCATCGGCCCCGCCGCTTTGTTCTTCAGATGGCTAATTGCTATTCGAACATCTTCATGGTCGGGCAATGGCACATCTGCTCCATCGTCATCGATTGGGAATCGGGTTCGCCTTCGCCTGGCGTTATATTTTCACTGTCATTCAGCAGGCTGAAGGTGTGTTCCCTCTATAATTTTAGAGGTTCTGTTTTAGCTAATGAGCGCGACACCTTACGCCATGCCGATCCCGGGGATCCCCGAATAAGGGATCTCAATTTGGAGATTCGGCGTATGGTAAACCATCAAAAGCGGACGAAATAGTTAGAGCACCTGAAGTCCTGCAACCTCTCCACCGGTGTGAGTAAGCTTTGGGCTACTGTCAAAGCTTTGWYTAACCCGAAGAGTCACGACGACCGAGTTGAAGTTCAATTCAATGGTCATGCCTCTTCGAACCCGAAGAAGTGCGCGAGCTATTTTAGCCGGCAGTTTATACTGCACCCTTCGTTAGACAAAGCCAAACGATGTGTTAACCGACGGCTGCGCAAAATGCCAAACCACGGCGCGCCACTTACTTTCACCGATGTGGAGGTTCAGGGTGTCATCAACAAAGCAAAATCTTCCAAATCCATTTTCCCTGATGGAATTAACATGCTAATGCTAAAGCATCTAGGCTCGACGAGAGTAAGATATCTCACCAAGGTCTTCAACCTGTCGCTGACCACTCTTCAAATACCCGATGTGTGGAAAGTCGGATGAGTGGTCGTACCACTGAAACCTGGGAAATCCGCCAACAAAGGGGAATCTTATCGACCGATAACTCTCCTCTCTCCAGTAGTGAAGACACTTAGGCATTGTTACTCCCGACCTTCACTCACCTGAGCCTAGCCAGCCACCAGCATGTATTCCGAAAAGCGCACAGTACCACTACAGCACTTAGCGTCATAAACGTTCAGAGAGTTCGTGGCCTCAACCAGAAACCACCCTGTGAGAGAACGATCCTCGTAGCGTTGGACTTGTCAAGAGCTTTTGACACGGTCAACCACACAACGCTACTGCAGGACATTGAGAAACTATGCTTCCTTCAGGGCTCAAGAGGTGGACCATCAACTATCTGAATGGTCGTCAGTCATCCGTACTATTTCGAGGTGCAACATCTAAACTGAGAAGAATTAAACAGGGGGTTCCGCAGGGTGGTGTCCTCTCCCCGCTACTGTTTAACTTCTACATCTCGAAACTCCCGCAACCACCAGAGGGGGTTTCCATAACCTCGTACGCAGATGACTGTACGATATTGACGTCGCGCAATGGAATCGACGGCATGTGTTCGAAGGTAGACAACTACATACCTCACCGACCTTTCTCGTTTCCGCACTGCACGGAACCTCCAACTTTCCTCAACCAAATCCACAGCGACCATATTCACGAACTGGACGAAGGAGTGTAGACTGGAACTTAATATTGCAGTCGACGGCTTCAAAATTCCGACTGTCAATAACCCTAAGATTTTAGGTGTTCCTTCGACAGTCTAAGGAGCATAGACTCTCCACATACGACGATTATCGCCAAAGTACAGAGCCGCAACAAAATCCTCAAGTCGCTAGYCGGCAGCACATGGGGAAAAGACAAAGAAACGTTGTTGGCAACTTACAAGGCAATCGGCCGGCCGGTCCTTAACTATGCAGCACCCATATGGTCGCCTGGATGCAGTGGCACGCAGATGAGGAAACTACAGACCGGCCAGAATATAGCACTCCGTACCACGTCGGAATGCCTCTTGATGCCTCCCATCGAACACCTACATAGTGAGACGCTTATGCCCCCAGTTAAGGAGCATAATGAACTCCTCTCCAAGCAGTTCCTGCTAGGATGTTTTCGTGGAAATCATCATAACATTATTGGTCTGGTTGGTGGCTTTTTGATCCGGACACAGCCAGGTATCTTGATGAATTTTCTTGTCCATATTTTGGGCCCCGGCGAAGTCGATCAGCCTCAACACAATTGGGGACATTTCATCATGGAGGATGAATTTACCGACCGTTGCGTCAAAGATACCCCCATTGCCTACCCTAACGTTAAAGTCGCCTAGCAGGATTTTGACATCGTGGCGGGGACAGCTGTCATAGGTGCACTCTAAGCGCTTATAGAAGGCAATTTTGGTCCCAGCGTCCTTCTCTGCCCTCTGATGCGGACTGTGGCTAGACGTTCATCTACCAGGGTGAATGACAGTATTCGGCGACGGAGTGTCTCTCTCACCACAAATCCGATACTAAATTTTTACTCCTCTGTTTCTCTTTCAAGCCAGTTGTTTACTTTTCATTGAGGGCGGGAGTTTTTTTTTTTTTACGGGGCGGGTTCCAAACACAATGCACAACCCTGTGGAGGGGATGTTCACTCGCCTTCAAACGGATGTTTTCCGGCTGGAGTATACTTGGTCTAAGATCGGAATTCGTGAGCTGCTTGAGACATATGTGAGAGAATCGTTTTTGGCCACTCCAAAGTGAATAACTACAACTATACTTGACATTTTTTTATTCTTATACTTAGGGGAAACCCTTCGCAAATATTATGAATGCTAAATTTAAAATTAGAGTTGCTGTTAATATACTAAAACTATAAGGTTATCAACTTCACTCGAGGGAATTAAAGTTAGAGTAATTCAGCTTCAGATCAATCCAGTTATTTTTTGGTATTCGATTTTCAACTATTTTTAGTTAATGTTTGATTGGTATTGCCAGCCTAAAAAGTTAAGATTTCAAAGATAATTAAACAGCTGAAAGTTCTAAAACGAAAAATAAATCAATTTAATTTAATTATTGTTTACAAAAATTTGAATAATTATAATTATTCTGGTCTTTCAAACCAAGTATCGGAATTATGAATCTAAATGTTGGGGTCAAACCTGATGTGCTGCGCTTAAGAAAAAGCCTTCGTGATCAATAAATCATTTGAACTTCCTAACACCAAGTAAACCAAAGATGTATTGCTCTGAACTAATGTGCATTGCAGATTAATAAGACTGTTGGGTCTTTTCCAACAAATGTGATGTAATTCTATAATGCACTATCCCCTGGAGTCATTGAAAATTATATGATTGTCTCTACTCTTTTGTGCTATTTCGCAGGTGTGAAGGATGACTGTTGTTTCTGCTGTAAAAACTGAGGCAAGAGTTAGTAGTATAGCAGACATTATTGTTGCATAGTTATTAACAATGCTGAAGTCAATGATATTGTGCTTTGAACCAACAGTGTAGAGAATTTTGCAATTAATGTGTTTGCTTAAATTTTCCAAAAAGATTTTAACATAAACGTTAGGGAGTGTGTTTTCTTTTTTATATTTGTTCAAGTCCAAAATAACGATAACAATAAGATTGGTTTAGATCCCAGCTAAAATGGTACCAAAAAAAATCCTTTTTGTTTTTGCCGCGTCGATTAGCTTTTGTAACGCTCGAGCATTAATCACAATTTGCAATTATTTTTGCCATACAGCATGACTTAATCGTCAAAAGTCTAGCTTTGTGTGAAGAAATGTTCGGGCGACTACCGATGATAATGGGAGACTATGCGAATAATTTAATGGTGAGTGCCTATAATGAGTGGAAAGCTGATGTGAAGGTTTACTTCTCAATAAGTCTCAATAATAAAAAGCGTTAAAAGTGGGGTCTACTGAATTCCGATATCATAAAATAGATAAATGGCTATACCATTAAATAGTTAATGAAGCACAATTATGTATAACAGATAAGCAAGTACCAAATTCGGGTGCCGTCGAAATAATTCTTCTTCCTCTTTAATTGCGTAGACCCCGCTTACACGGTTATAGCCAAGCTAACAACAGCACGCCAATCGTTTTTTCTTTTAGCAATTTGGAGCCAATTCGAGATACCTAGTGCAGCCGGGTTCTTCTCTATCTGATCTCTCCAAGGGAGTGGAGGTCTTCCTCTTCCTTTGCTTCCCCCTGTGGGTACTGCGTCGAATACTTTCAAAGCTGGAATGTTTTCATTCATATGGACGACATGACCTAGCCAGCGTAGCCACTCGTATAACTCGTGAGGCTCATCGTTAAATCAAATGTCATATTCGCCGTTGCCAAAACGCAAAGCACAAATCTTCCACAGAACCTTCTTCCCGAAAACTCGTAACGTCGACTCATCAGATGTTGTCAGCGTCCATGCCTATGAACCGTACAGCAGGACGGGAATAATGAGTGACTTATAGAGTTTGGTAGTCGAAACATTTATCGATGGAAATCGAAATTAGTTATATACTGGATAATACTGGAAGCTTAAAATTTATCATATTAGGAAAAATGTGGATACATTTTATGTAGCCATTAGGTAAATACGGCTGTATTTGAACGACGCGATCTCAATACTGGGCCGTTTTGGGAATAAACGGATTATCCGTTTCTCATTAAACCATCCTAGACTGGGATGCTTGCTTCATCGAGCTACCAGTCCCTAGAACAATATGAATACAAATAAAAACAAAAAAGGGAATTCAGAAACTACTGAAATAACTGACAACGGACAAGAAAATCGTAGAACACAGGAGCCAGACGCTTTAATGCCATCGAACGGAACAATGGGAGACGCCAAAAGCATCAATCTCTGGGGGAACTTACTTCAGAGGATACTACGCCTTTCGTGGAATATGCCAGGAGTAATGAGCTTCCCATAAAAAGTAGCATCGCAGCCCAAAACAGAAGCGACAGAAAGTTGTGACGTAATAAGTCCAAACAGCTCTCCCTTAAATGGCTGATCGGTAAGTAGTGGCTCTGGCCAAACCCGGGTAAGTGGTGGAAGACCTGGACTGGGAGCCGAAAACATCTCATCGCTCCGATAAGACTGGAATGAGTGGAGCCAGTTTATTTCAGGCACATGAGGGATAAATCAGTAGTCTAGAAAAAGGTCCTTACACTGAACAGAAATCGGCAAGGGCCGTATTCTGGACCAGTATATACATACATACATACGATATAAGACCGTGTGGGATTCGTTCACAAATCGTAGGGTATCAAAACTTTGTACACGAAAGTTGCCCTCCCATATTTGTTTATTTTAAATTTTTTTATTATTTAAGACGCAAATCAATATGCAATAAAATTAATAATAAATAATAGGCCAATTTGAACCAATTAAAATTTAATTTTTATACATTTTTAATTTTTCTAATTTTTGAAATTTCGCTGACAAGCGAAATATAATTGAGTAGAAAAGTACTCATTACAACTTGTCGAAATGGAGATCTCATGGAAGTATTGTTGGTTCGGATTAATAACATTGATGATTTCAAGCCGTTTAGTATACACTTTTACAAAATTTACCAACATCGACTGCAAAGCGTTTGACAAATCTTTCGCCGATTTCAATAGTTGTCGCCTGCATGTGCCGAAACGGGGAGAGATCGCATTATCCTTGCATGTGCAGCTGCTCCAGATACCAGTTAATAATGTCAGTGTAAGTGAAGGAGTATTTTTGAGAGTTGCGTGTTAAGGTGCCATGTTTTTTAACTTCTTTTGATAAAAAAAAATTAAATCAAAATCAATCTTCTTCTCTCTTTACAGGTAAACCTTTCATTTTTCAAGAAAGCCAGTGGTTATCGCCCCTTTCTATACAATGTTACCGTCGATTTCTGTGATTTTATGGCGAACAAGAAACGTTATCCTATTTTAAATATATGCCATGGTGTTATTCTGAAGGACTCGAACATTAATCACACCTGCCCCTACAACGTACGTATGATAACGAAATTAATGGAAATGGTAAAATATATATTTGTTTGCAGCATGACATAATCGTTAAAAATCTAGTTTTGCGTGACGATATGTTCGGACGAATGCCGGTGCCAGAGGGAGATTATATGTTTAAGTTAATGGTGGGCGCCTACAATGAATGGAAAGCTGATGTGAAGACTTACTTATCAATAAAACTCAATAAATAGGAGCGTTAGGGTGATGGAATTGAATTCAAATAGCGAAAATGGATGAAATTATATTATGCAAAGTACTAAGGAAGACCGCAACCCATCAAGAATATATTGTCAACAGATACTTATCTCAAAACCTTGTATTTTAATGCTAATTTTGCAATATTTTATTTACCAGATTTTTTTGAATTAATAAACTTATGACATGGCAGCCTTAATGTACGCTTTCTTGAGAGCCATTAAAATTTAAAAATAATAAAATTGCTTTGGGTGTATACATAAATACATAATACTGTTTTTCCACTTTCTATTTTTTACCATCCGCATAACACCAAAGTAATGAGTTTCCAAATCAAATTAGTCGAAATCAAGCGAGTGTTATCAAAGTTATAAATATCTAAATCAAATAGCAGAAATGAAAGGTTCCAATTTTAACTTTCCAAAGATGATTAATGTAATTAGATTGTGACTAAAGAGTTTGGTTGGAAAAATTCGTTCGATAATATAAACAGCTGTTGACAGCTAATTAGAACCGCTCCCTATTTATAAGGAGCTGATAAGTATACGCCAGGGAAGCACGCAGCAAACCACTTCTGACTAAAATTCATAGGAAACGGCCCGTAGACATTGCCAACTCTAATTGGTCTTGGACAAAAAATCAATTGAGTTATGCCGTTTGGAGCGATGTAACAAAAATTAGTCGCAAATGTCTTGATGGTCGAAGATATGTTCGCCGTCTAATCAATCAATAATTTTATCCCCGATCCCCGATGGAATTTTAAACAAGGGAATTACGTCAACATCCTGAAAAATGTCATGATGCCATGAGTGGAGGAAAATTTGCCTGTTTTGGGAAAATTCCAACAAGATAACTATCAAAAGCATACGGCGAAGTTGATACAAAAAGGTTTTGATGAATATTCCATCAATATTTTGGATTTGCCATCGTCCAGCCTAGGCGTGAACATCTCTGGCGTGACATTAAAAAGCTGTTAGTACCAAAGATATCCCGAATATTAATGTTATTTTTGATAAAATAACAATGGCATGGCAAATAACACCAGCAGTATGCTGTCAGAGTCTAATAACGTCTATCCGCAGTGGATGTGGAGTCATATTATAGTATAAGGGTTAAGCAACAAATACTAAGTGAAAGTAAGCACATTTTTGTAATATCATTATTTTTTTCTTATCAAATATTTTCGTTTATAATTAGTTGTCGCAATCAAATCGTTGATTCTACAAGTTTTAGTTAATATCTTCATAACAAAAATGAATTTTAAACAACATTTTTACTATTAGAGTTTAAGTTTAACATAGGCTTCAATAAAATAAGTGAAAATGCAGTATAAATAAGTGGTTTATTGGAAAATAACATCATTTACTTAAAAATATGTAGCGTTTCTAATTAGCTGTCAACAGCTGTATGTATATATGTAATACTCATATACATTGGATTATCTCAAAACTCCGTAGATAATAATGAAAACCATAGTGCAAGAGTCTGATATCAATATCATCGGCATACGCCTGCAGTTGTACACTCTTATAAAAGACTGGGCCTTCTCGGTTAAGCTCTGCAGCACGATTTATTTTCTCCAGCATCAGATTGAAGAAGTTGCACGATAGGGAGTCATCTTGTCTGAAACCTCGTTTGGTATCGAACGGCATGGAGAGGTCCTTCCCGATCCTGACAGAGATTTTTTTGTTGCTCAACGTCAGTTTCCACAGCCATATTAGTTTTGCGGGGATATCAAATTCAGACATCGCGACATAAAGGCAGCTCCTTTTGGTGCTAACGAAAACAGTTTTGAAATCGACGAAGAGGTGGTGTGTGTCAATTCTCCTTTCACGGGCCTTTTGCAAGATTAAGCGCATGGTGAATATCTGGTCGGTTGTTGATTTTCCAGGTCTGAAGCCACAATGATGAGGTCCAATCAGTTTGTTGACGGTGGGCTTTAATCTTTCACACAATACGCTCGATAGAACCTTATAGGCGATGTTGAAAAGGTTTATCCCACTGTAGTTGGCGCAGATTGTGGGGTCTCCCTTTTTGTGGATTGGGCAGAGCACACTTAAATTCCAATCATCGAGCATGCTTTCGTCCGACCATATTTTACAAAGAAGCTGATGCACGATCCTTATCAGTTCTTCGCCGCCGTGTTTGAATAGTTCGGCCAGCAATCCATCGGCCCCCGCCGCTTTGTTGTTCTTCATGCGGGTAATTGCTATTCGAACTTCTTCCTGGTCGGGCAATGGAATGTCTGCTCCATCGTCATCGATTGGGGAATCGGGTTCGCCTTCTCCTGGGGTTGTGCGTTCGCTGCCATTCAGCAGGCTGGAGAAGTGTTACCTCCATAATTTAAGTATGCTTTGGGCATCGATCACTAGACCACCTTTGGGTGTTCTACAAGAGTATGCTCCGGTCTTRAAACCTTCTGTTAGTCGCCGCATCTTTTCGTAGAATTTTCGAGCATTACCCTTATCTGTCAGCATGTCAAGCTCTTCATGCTCACGCATTTCGACCTCTTTCTTTTTTGTCTGCAAATGCGTCTCGTTTCCCTCTTCAACTCTCGGTAGCTATCCCATTCCGCATGTGCTGTGGGCGGTCGTAACTTTGCGAAGTAGGCAGTCTGTTTTCTCGATACGGCACTCCTCGTCGTGCCAGCTGTTCTTTTGCATTTTTCGAAAACACATGGTTTCGGTTGCAGCTGTACGTAAGGAGTTTGAAATGCCGTCTCACAATTCCCTTATACCGAGTTGTTGACGAGTGCTCTCAAAGAGCAGGAGTGCAAGTCGAGTATAAAATCGTTCGGCTGTCAGTTGTGATTGCAGCTTCTCGACGTCGAAGCTTCCTTGTGTTTGTTGACGTGAGTTTTTTGCTGCACAGAGGCGGGTGCGATAAACTAATATCAGGATTTTGTTGATTAGTGTTTTCAGAAAGTGACATACTAATAGTAACGGTATTGGGAAAAATAGACAAAATCCGAACTTAGTCCTTCCCTACTTGTTCTTAAATTAATTCATTAACGTTTAACCATAACTGCTTAGAAGATATTGATACCCTACTCAATCGCACAGATACAGAGCTGAAAACCATAATTCCAAAATCAGTTTAAGTTTGACAACACTTCAACACAAATTTTATTTGACGACTTGAGTTGAAAACCATAATGCCGAATTTCAAAACTCCAACTAAAATTCAGTTCTTTGTGCGTCTTTTTCAGTATACATATGAATGTCACTTACTATACACTTTCTGTGCCTGAAAAAGTGTAAGGAGGGTGTCTTACTTTTTATATACAGGATTTAAAAGTGATGATTTTTTCGACCACTTCTTTTTCTTTACTGACGTAGACACCGCTTACGCGGTTATAGCGGAGTTAACAACAGCGCGCGAGTCGTTTTTTCTTTTCGCAAGGTGGCGTCATTTGGAGATTCCAAGCGAAGTCAGGTAATACTCCAACAGATCCTCCCAACGGAATGGAGGTCTTCCTCTGCTTCCCGAGGCGAGGGAAGACAAATAACGTCCTAGACCGTCAAAAAAGTTTGAAGATTAGGAATTGGAAAAATCTATCGATGAAGATTGTTGGCAACAAAAGACGAGCTCCCACAATTTTTGGGATTCACACAAGCCGAGTTTTCGAAACGTTTAAAGGAACTTGGAACAATCAAAAACACGGAAATTGAGTGCCATATGAATTGAAGCCAAGAGATTATTTTGTATGTCAGGAATTCAGCTTGAGTTTAAAAAAATAAGTCGATTTTACAACGAGTTGAAAAATCGATACATTACGATACAACCTTGAACGAAAAAATCAAATGTGAATCTTGGCCAACCAGCCATATCAACGATAAAACCGAAAATCCATGAACCAGGGGCCTGGTAATACTCAGTATGTATGTGATGGGATTAAAAGAGCGTGTTGAGCTTCTAATAGCGATGAAGGCATTAATGTCGAACACAACTTGATTGACGCAATACGCCCGAAATTTGCGAATAGACAAGAGACAATAATTTTCAATCATGATTACGCTCGGTCTCATGTTGCAAGACAATGGCAGGGAAGTTTTGCCTCCCTGTTTTATAGCTTAGACTGTGGCCAATCTGACTTCCATTTATATCGTTCCATTGACAATACTTTGTGAAATAAACTTTCAAATGAAAAGCGTATATTCTCAATATATTATTTTCAGTGAAATGATATTTTAGTTCAATAACAGTTTTCAAAAGGTTTAATCCAAGAAAGATGTAGATTTCATCAAAACTTAAAGAATGCGTAAGCTGATGAGGTACTTAAGATGTGGATGTGGAAATTATATTCTTTAATGTTTGCTTCACTATTCAATTCTAAGCAATTTCATTTGCGTTCTTCCGAGCATATAAATTCACTGGCACGATTTTCTGCATAGGCAATAAACCTTTTTCCATACAGTCTTATTACGTGAGTCAAAGTCTCCACGTCTGCTTCAGCTTGATGTCTCAGTTCGGGCTCCTTCTTAAAATTTCGTTTAAAAATATTGTCCAATTTATATACTCCTTTGGGGGGATATTTGCCATTAGGCCTCTTTTGAAATGTATGGTCGAAATCTATTACCCTAAATGCATGTAAAGAATCTACATAATGAATGTTATTCGGAAGTTGCTGCAATGAAATAACACTAATTAGTTCTGATTAACAATAGTTAAGAGCAATGGAAATATATTTTACCTACCATACTTAGCTTATTGAACATATTCTTGACTATCAGAAAATCATGACTATCGCCATTGTGTGCAACCAGACATACTGGTTGTGGCAGGCGATTAAGGAAGCTTACAATAAGACGAGCACAGTTCTCATCGAAGTGTGACTCATATTCTAACATATAGTTGTCCAGTCCTGTAAATAAACAAATAAACACAACTAATTAAGTGTGTTAAGTTCGGTTATAATCGATGATTTTATGATTCTATAATTTGCAAAGATCAAAAGCGAGAAAATATGAGGGAAAGGTTAACAAGAGGAATAGAA